CCCTCTGAAGACGGCGAAGCCGAGATTACTTTTTCTAACCGAGACGCAGGTGCCCCTCTCTGGTCGATACTTCTCTCCTATCCGCGGTACAAATTAGAACACCTTTGGGCATCGGGTTGAAGTTTGCATATACGTCAGAGAGTACATCTGTTCTCGACGCCTCGGTAGCCTTGAAGGTCAGCGACGACTATACTCGCGTCTACGGGTGTCTCTAAAGGTAATGCCGATACAGACTAACTCATCGATCACGTCCAAATCGCTACAGACTCCGTGCTACAACAGGTCCCATCTGCAGAGATCGTGATCCTTGGTGAATTTAACAGCCACCACGCTGAATGGCTTAGTTCTCGTTTAACCGATCATGCGGGAAGATCTATTTATGACTTTGCCTTGGCATGTGGTCCGACACAAATGATTACTTCGCCAACGTGGATTCGAGATGTGGAGGATATAGCACCTTTCCTGTTGGATCTTCTGCTGACCTTTCATCCGGACAGATATCAGGTCTCCGTCGACGCCCCTCTTGGCTCATTAGGCCAACGTCTGACCCGGACTATGGTGCCACTCACAATCCCATCGCGGTTGCGTTCTGCAGATCGCCGCCGTGTTTGGCACTATAGGTCGGCCGATTAGGACAGGATGCAGTTTTTGTTTCCCTTGAGGACAGGGGCGAGTATGCTTCTCGCCGGATGATCCCAACGTGACTCTGTCGCTGATGTGGTACTTCAGGGATGAAACTCTTTATTCTATCATCTATGGTGCCTGGTATGGTCGCTCCTGTAAAATTGCATCGCGCTATAATAGGAGTGCTTCACCAGCGCGGTTAAAAAGAAGTATAATTTCGCCTTCAGGTCGGTACGATACGGTTTATACAGCGCTCGGTGCGCATAGCACTACTCTCCCTAGACGTCAAGTCGAGTGGGCCATTACGCCATTAGGCCCACTCGACTTGACGTTTAGGGAGAGAATAAATCAGGAGTTCCTCCCATTGTGCTGAAGACGTGTGGTCCTTGGTTGGCACCGGTTGTAACGTGTCTTTTCTAAAACTCTTTCTCCCTAGGCGTAGGTCCCGAACTCAAAGAAGCTTTAGTTGCACCAGATCTCTAAAAAATAACCGAAAATCGACCGCTCAGACCTTTCCAACTTATTCTCCAAGATAATGAAAACCATTGTGAACTGCCAGCTCATGAGGTTGAGGATCACCTACTGAAATGTGACCGCTAGTATGATTTCCGTCGGAGTTGCTCAGCTGTTGATCTTCCGGCTTACCTGACTCATAAATCGGCGGAGGCAGAGAGGGAGACCCTGGCCGTTAGTTTGGACATATGTCCGTTAAGAGGCCTTCAATCGGGTTTGGCACAAAGCGCTTCTTTCGAAGCTCCCTTCCTATGGGCTTCCCGAGAATTTGTGCAACTGGATCAGCAGTTTTCTTGCAGATTGGAGCAACAATGTCGTAGTAGAAGGTGCATACTCCATTTACACGCCTATTTATGCTGGTGTTCCACAAGGCTACGTGCTATCACCTACGTTGTTTCTTCTGCTTATCAATAATATGTTGCAAACCAGTAAAGTGCACTGTTGATGCTTTATACTCCGGCTGTGCCTATATTTCTCGGGAAAACGTCGCCGAGTACCGGAACAAACTTGTGTGTGAAGTCGAGTTTTTGCCGGATAAGGTCTCAGATTGGGGCGACTAAATCTAATTAAGTTCAATAACCAGAAGATACAAGTTTGCGCCTTTACCACTAAATAGAAACCCTTTCTAACTCCTCAATTTCAGGGCACTTCCCTTGTTACCTCAGCGAGTATCGGAATATTCGGCATTGACATATCGAATAACGTGCAGTTTCGTGGTCACTTGGAAGGGAAGGCTGAATTGGCCTCTAAAAAGCTTGGCGTACTCAAGAGAGCGGGACAGTATTTTATGCCAGCACACTGCTTGCAGCTTTAAAAGGGACAGGTTCTCATCCCTGGGCCGGGGCTCACCAGCTGACAAGGAGCTTAGCTCCTTCCACTTGATCGCATCCAGTGCAGAGTGGCTCCAATCGCCGACGACCGACGAAGAAAAACGAGATGTAGAGATGTTGCACCCCTTTGCACTTTCTATCGCTTTTACCACGGGGAGTGTTCAGAGGAATTGTTTGAATTAATTCCAGCCACAAAATTTCATCAACGCATTTCACAAATCCACATCATCGGAATGTTTGGCGGTCCACTACTGTCGGACCAATACGACTAAGGGACCTTCAAGAAACGAGCTTACTCATTTTTAAAAAGCCGGCAACGCGCCTGCAATTCCCGTAGTTTTGTATTTGCCAAACGAGGAAATTATTGTTGTATATTGGTCAAACGAGCATGCTCGTTTGTCCCCCTCTTCTGTATAAAAAAGGCGATAAAACGAAATAGACAATTGTGTTAACAATGAGTAATTTTTGTGATTTCAGTTCGAGCCGTTCGCGGTCAGGGGCCAAAAAGTTAAAACTCGAAATTCTTTATACAATTAGGATAGTACATAATTTTTCGAACGTCGTTCTTGGAGTCCAAGGGGCCCCTGGGTATCTACGCCACTGGACAAACGACCACACAGTTCATCTGATAGTAAGTGGATGGTGTGGCCCATAGACATTTACATTTATCCTCGTTTAATAATCAAAATGCAGATGCGTTATCACCCCTGAGGGCTAAGATCGTTTAAAGTAAAAAGGATCTCCGGTTCTCTACACTCACAATACAAAGCACAGCATCCTTAAGCTGCTATTTTACGCTGATAGTCTGTAATAGCGTGGTCCTACCCCGGTCGAGCCGACCCATTCGTGCTACAACTAATATAGCTGCAGCTATATTATTGACTTATAACGTAGACATAACTTAGCAAACCGCATTTTTATTTACATTTATGCTGATTTTGAAACTATGCGACACTTGGATGTTCCTTGCGTTAGCATTTCCCATGGTAAAAATGTGACAGGGAAGCATCTTCAAAATCATCATTACGAAATTTAATAAACATTTCCTTGTTAAAAGACTTGGGCCTATTAAGCTTTATTTTTACAACGTAAAGAATGTAACACCACTTGCTAAAAGGTGCGTCATTCATTGAACAAGTAGACACAAATTGTTGTAAACAAACGACTGCGTCGTAATAATTTCATTTGACGTAATAGCAACTTTAAGTCAAGGCATTAAAATTCAAATCATTGTTAATGCTTGTAAGCTCCGTAGCCTCTTGTAATATGGTACAAATTTCGATGATGTTGCAAGTGAACAAACACATCGTGGTGATATTATGAAATATGAAATAATATTTTATATTATACGTGGCTTAGCTTTCCATTCACTCCCGTCGAGTTGGGGGTTGATACGTATTTTTACAGTAAAGTTACACTATTATCAGCACACACACAAAGTTACAATATGCGGCATATAATTTTTGAGAAAAAAGTTATTGGAAATCAATTATTCTTGCATTGTTTATATCTAATCCTACCATAAAACTGACGCCATTTTGTAATGTCATTGTCGTCAGTAGGTATGTCGATTCTTTCCGAAAAGGGTCGATTTTTAAATCGATTCAATTCGGAAGCTGATTCATAAAAAATCGATTTCTAAAATATCTATATTTTTTATGTTTGCATTTATAATGTTAATATAATTCAATTTTATGAAAAACAAGAAAGATATCATAATAAATGATCTCTTATTGAATTTTACCAATTAGGGCAGATAACAAATAAAATAGGTTAGGTTCAACTTATGTCAAAGAACCGAATTGATTGACCCTGACTCCACCTGGTACGAGTCTGTCCTACCCCTAGAGTGGTTTTAAAGAGCCGGAGGCGCGTAGGGGGAGCAGCCTCCGCCTGCTGTAACAAATCGCAGGCATCCCTCCTCGATTTGTTACAGCAGGTGGAGGCTGCTCTTACCGCAGCGCCGGAGACGTAGCAGTCTCAAAATAGATACAGAAATCCTTCTGAATCAGTCTCCCTATATTTTATGATGAAGGGGATTTTTTCTCATAAATTGGATTTATATTTACATTATAAATGCAAACATGAAAAAAATATAGATATTTTAGAAATCGATTTTTTGGGAATCGATACATCAGCTTACAATTCGAATCTATTTAAAAAAATCGATCTTTTTCGGAAAGTATCGACATCCCTACTGACAAAACAATAAAAAATGGCGTCAGTTTTATTGTAGGATTATACATAAACAATGCCAGAATAATTGATTTTCAATAACTTTTTTCTCAAATATTACGTGCTTCCGCATATTGTAACTTTGTGTGTGTGCTTATAATAGTGTAACTTTTCTGTAAAAATACGTATCAACCCCCAACTCGATGGGAGTCAATGGAATGGAATATGGTTTACTACATACCTACCTATTATAAGTTCCGAATAATTTTATAAGGTTATAACTTTCAATTTAACTTATTAAATACAGCAAATGGTTTGTAATTTTTAATTAAATTTATCGTTTATTGGGCAATGCTTGCATAATATAATTAAGATTCGAATTTTTTTTTCGAATATTAATTATATGCTATACTAATTCGAAATTAATTTACATTCACACTATTATTATTATTAGTTGCGTGCTTTTTGAATGAAGCTGCATCGGCTGCATGAGTGGTGACTGGTGAGTGCATCTATAGGTAGAAAACGCCGCTACCGCTAGCGCGTCCGCTACCGCGCGAAAGTGAAAATTCGCTAGGCACTTTCTCCCCACCCGACGTGGCGGTTGTGTCGGCAGCGTCGGCCCGCCCCTCGCTGCACGGCCGCGCCCCGCCGCCCGCGCGCCCCCGCCCGCCGCGCGCCGCAAGGTCAGCCCGCGTGCAGCGGGTGGCGCGGCGGCGGCGCGGCGACGCGCTGCGCTCTTGAAATTTCGCTTTCGTTCAACGTTATTAGTCGGCCGCGCGAGCTCCTGTAAGCATGTGTTTCGCGTGACGCGCTCCGACTTTCCGCGGCACGTTCGATTTCGTTGGCGAGTCGAGCATGGCCCCGCGACGGCAGGGCGCCACCGGCGAACGCGAGGCGGAGGATGCTCAGGGCTGCTGTGTCCCCGGCGAGTGCCTTCGCCCCCGCGAGCCCGTACGCGTTGAGGACGCCGTTCGCGTGCTTTGTAATAATGACACGTGCGCCGTCGGCCGGTACATGCACCGAGAATGCTTCGAGCAATGGGAGGCCGGCGTGCTCGCTTATCTCAAATCCTGCGGCCGGGCGCGTTCATGGTCAGAGCGGCAGCGTCACCAGAATCTTTGGACTAAGAAAGGCTATGATTTAGCATTTAAGGCATGCGGATGCCGGTGTGGTCGAGGACACTTAAAGAAAGACTTAGATTGGGCTCCGCCTGGTTCGGTTATCAGAGCAGATGAAGAGAAGAAGCGGCGAAGGCGAGCACGGTCAGGACGAACACCAGCGGCTGTCGATGTACGATCGAGAGCATTCAGTCTCTCAAGCTCGGGCTCTTGTTCACCACCGTCCGCTTCTTCGGAGCCTTCGGCTAGTCCCACACACGTTGTACCACATGCGATTACTTCTGCAAAGAGAAACTCGAAATCAGAAATTGTTTCCGACAGAATCAGGTGAGTGTCGAAGGAACTTTTTCTACTAAAACTTTTTAGTATATTGTACAGCCTACCCTTTGTACTTAAAGAATGTGTGAATGTGATGATGTATGAATTGGGAAATATTTAATATGCATTATTCATTTAATAGATTAATAGACACTATTGCCGTTTAAACCGAAGACATTTCATGTTTTTAATATAACAAGGAGGAACATACTATGGTTAAATTTGTAATTGAATCATCTTTCCTGGGAGTCAATGCAACGCCAGCTCCTTCGCATCGCAAATACACAACACATCTATATTAGATGACTATTATACCTACGTATTAAAATGTTTTGTATGTACAACGCCTACAGTTTATTGAATGCAACTTGCCGGTTGTTTATATCGGAACGAATAGCAGCACTACATAATTGGCGCGGAACTGGTTATAACATTTACTTACGATCCGGCTAGTTAAGAAACCGGCCCGTCGCGCCGCTAATGTTTCGAAGTTTCGAACTGCTGAGAGATAGTTGGGTATCTACCAAAACGAATAACACACGTCTTTAATTAAATTTAATGTATGTAAGTATTGCCCGTTGTATGCCCATTTGCAGTATTTTATGCGAGAAAAAACGCCTGAATAACGCTGCAGTTTGTATCATACATATTTATGTTTACACAATTTCGTAATGTTTAAACATTTCGTAATAAATGCATAAATACCCAACAGGTGTACGAGCACCTACATTATAATGATATGTCATTGCACGAAGTATTTTTTACTAAATGATTTGAGTATGTAATGGCAGGTACATTATACCATTTAATATAAAATGTTTCTGAAGAATATGCCTTATTTAACTATTATAAGCCAGTGCTTAAAGTTAAATACAAACCAAACGTGGTTATAGTTAGCGATGATGAAGCCGTATATAAACCACTATCTTAGCGTAACAAAAGCCTATTCACTCACATATGTCTATATTGATTTAAAAGTAAAAAAAAAGAATTTTAAGTACCTAAACAAACACCTAACATCAACTAAAACATTTTCGTCATTATGGAACGTCATTACAAATTTTTTATAAACAATCATTTTTTTTTTCATTTATTTATCACTACTAAAAACCTATACAAACATGTAAATGGCACTGAAGTTTTTCGACAGGGCCAAAGCCACATCAAACAACCACATTTTATATTAACATAAAAAATCATTTTATGAACCAAAAAAAAAAATTTAAAAAATATAAAGCGTGTGCGTTTATAATAATAATATTGATCATAATCAGCACTCATATTTGAACAAAGTATGTTTTAAGTTTAGATTTAATATTACCTGTAGTTAACTTATTACAAAACAAATTTATTTTAAAATTATAAATATTCTCGTGTCATAAAGTAAAATTTTTATTTTAATAAACATAATATAATTATTTTTGTGTACAGTAATTAATAAATAATTGTTTCAATATGTAAAATAAACAACGAGGAAAGTCTTCCCAAATAAGGTGTATCTAATAGGATTAAAAAAAATAGTTTAAAGAAACTTTGGATACTTTCTTACAACACTAGAACTTGAATATTTTACTTCAAGTTATAGTTTGTTTATTTTGTATAATCCTTTCCTATAATTAACGATGATTATTTGAAAAGTTATGTTATGTTACGTGATACTTAATTATTACCTTTCGTGAAATTTAAATTATAAAATGTTTAGCTACGTACAGCTGACAGTATAATTTCTGTATTCTGTGGTATAGTAACGTTTTTTAATTGAAAAAAAAAAGTACCTACTTATCCCAATTTGCATTCGTACGGAAACAAGCGGCATTTTTTGTATCCAACTGTTAAATGTTTTAATTCGAATACGCGCACAAACAAAGCACTACCCAAAATTGGTGGAGCCCTAAAAATGCAATTTTGTCCGTTCCGTACATTAACCGCTATTCGGTGCACAGCTGGTTTCCGTTTCCCGTCGACATTCGAAAAAATGCGTTTTCCCAAATTTACCAGCTGCCTCTTGTCCAAATTGGTGTGGTTTCTTCCACAAAAGTCCGTTATGACCAAAATTGCTTCTTTATTCCGGTGTAATGGTAGCGTTTCGAATATTAAAAATACAGGTATTTTTAGGACAATAGCGACGATAAAAAAATTACCATTGTATATTTTGGACGCAGTAAAATATTACAAACTGTAAGTACAGTAAGTGTATATACTTCAGAATGTGAAATTATGTTATTAATTTTAGTTCCTTGAAGTCAACTTTTACTTTTAATAAAGTTAATTTATTTTCTTTTTAAGTGGACTAAGTAATATCCCTATCTCACTGTGTCTAAATAGTCACCCTTAGGAGTGGAATTTATATGGGATCATCCCTTAAGTAAAACCTACTTAATTAAAAAAATGATTATCAAAAGTGGTTCACGATTTGCGTAACATACATACAATTATGATACAGTCGAATAGTAAACCTCGCCCTTTTTTATGTTGGTTGAAATACCGATCCCAAATTTTTGTAAACAGATATTGACATGACTCTATGAGTGATAACCGTTTGCTTTGCATATATTTAAGACAGATATGGAGTCTTATATCAAAAGTCATAATAATGTTATCTTAACCCACGCTTTATTAATAAAAACTGTAAATGACTGTAATCAGAACGCTCTAATTATAGATAATAATTTTTAAACAAAAATATTTTTTGTTTACGCAGATGCCCACCGTTCTAAACATTTAATGGAAATAACGCCTATAATTGTTTGTATTAGAGAAAATGGATCTTGGTTCAGAGCTTAATATTTTTAACCGACCTCATTTTTGGAACACAAGGTTCTATTTGAATATATTTTTTTGTTTCAGTTATACGATATCTTTGCTGATTGCTAACCGATTGAAATATTTATTTTTTATTTAATAAACCTCGAGAGTAGCTATTTTAAATGTGAAGAAAAATTTCCACCCCAAAGGGTGAAAAAATATGGGTCATAATATTTTTTATTGGACTCCCGTTTTAGTTTTTGCACCCGCTTTCCGTTAACCAAATTTAATAAGATTTCCCTTCGTCACTTGTTTCCTCAGATCGTCAGTCACATTTGAACAGCGTGTTTAGGTCTATCCATATTTACTATGATTAAAGGGTTGATTTCAAAAGCTATTAAATTACGTAGAATTTTTTTTTTCAAGCCGCTAGAGCCATATACAAGGTATATTTTCGGTTGCTGAAGCCACGCTTGACATAAGTAGTCGCGAACACAACTACACGCCAAGCAAAGAATTTAAAATCGCATCAAGCACGGAGCAAGAGCATAGATGCTTAAATTACACATATGCACGTAGATGCTTGCATGCTTGATCCAAGCATCTAGTAAACATTATAAATGATAAAACATGCTTGACTCAAGTAAATATTTACGTGCTCGCTTCAAGGTTTTTGATCGTCTCTGAACTCCTTTACAGCCACTACGCAGCTAGTAGTGTCAAAATTTTGAATAAGTAATATAAAATCTATTAAATAATAATATATCTAATTAACAACCTTAAGCTACCTATTACGCTAATGATTTAGAAAACGTGTCGTTTTATTCTTAATTCTATAATTTTATAATATATTTGAAGTGCACTCTATTATTAAAAAAGTAACGTATAAATACATGGGTATATTTAAATTGTTTTATAACCGTGGGGGTCTTTATTACGAAACAGTGCCTGCTGTTAAATTTGTGAATTGCAAATTTGAGTGCGTATTTATCGTAGGCTCTAAAGGAAATTGGCGAGGAAACCAGCTTGAAATGCCTTTTAAAGCATGATCACTACACTGCACATATGTGTACTGTAGTAAACTTACGCTACACAACAAAATATTTTGTAACAGTATTCACATCCAAAATTTAGGAAATTTAGTACAAAAATATTAATTAATTGCACTCCGTGAAAATAGAATTGGGGAAACTTGAAGAATAAATTATTTACATACTATGTCTCATTACTCAAAAATCAAACCTCTCTCGGCCTAGAAAAATCCTATAAAAACAAAGTTACGTTTTGTTCACTCGAAAAGAAACGTGACTAGTTAACTTTCGCTCGAAGTCGAATTGTTTAATTTTTTTTTAATTAAAAATATGCCCTTGCACTATCCCGTGAGTCATGTATGAAACGGTTTGATTGTTTAACTTTTGTTTTTTTTTTCGCGGACAGGGAAGTTATTAAAGTATTTTTAATTTTATATGATACTATCATCATTCATTTCCGGTTATTATAATAATAGCATATCGTAATAAAATGGCACACCTTCGACAAGTCCGCTAAGTAAACGCCAGATTACTTTGTTTACGACGACCGGTAATGTTTAAGTTGATCTTGGAGTATTAACTTAGTGATAAAATTATACTATATACTATAATGGCAACACTTATCGTTGTGTTTGTCAAGCCAATGGCGTGAATGTTTATTGTAGCGCAAAAAAGAAAAAACAAAATTGAATTGTTTTTATTTTTGATATAGTTATTAATAAACAATGTAGGTAAATAATTAAAGGAATTGAGACAATACCTTGGTAACTATATTAAGTATTTATATACTTAATGTATATAAGTAGTAGTTTCTGCATTCAGTAAATCTATTATTACCTGAATTTCATTAATTACAGCCTATCGAAAGTCTAACGCAGAACATGGCCTCTATACATTACCTCTTAGAGGAGACACCTGCCATAGTTGCTAAGCCTGACAGGCGGGTTGGGAACCGCAGTTTTTTTTTTATTTATTTATTTTGAGTTGTTTCAGGAAGATGCTGTCTCGCCCTCTGTCGCCTATTACGACACCCACGGGATTATATGAGGTGGTAGATTTTCTAACGCCGCCACAACAGGGCGCGATATTTCTTGTATTTATTTAGGCTTTTATATTATGTCCCGCTTTAAGGTTTATATTAACTAAATCGTACGCACGCGGTTTTTGTCATTGGCAACTAACGCACGAATGACAGAAAATTCTTAAAACAATTTCGGTGTTAAATCCCACGGA